TGGTGGTGGTGCCCCCTGCAAGACCCTTTCTGGTTCTGTTCGCGCGTGTTGCTGTCGCTTCCCTTTGTCCGTTATGCTTGTCGTGGCGGTGGCTTCCGTCGCGGCACGAGGGGTTCTATTCGCGGGGTTGGGAACTGTTTGCCGACTCTGCGCCTCTCCCAGGCAGCGGCAGAGCAAAAGGGTGGGGGGAAAAGAAGGAAAACAAGAATAAATGAAACAGCGAATAGACCAAAAACAAAAACGACATTCAACAACAACAACAACAACAACAACAGCAACGTGGTGACTGCTGCAGACAGCACAGATGGGGGAATGGAGGAATATGGCGCGAAACCACCCTCGCCNCAACAGCAACGTGGTGACTGCTGCAGACAGCACAGATGGGGGAATGGAGGAATATGGCGCGAAACCACCCTCGCCCGCCCGCCTGCCCGCCCGCACACAAAACCGAACAGACGGCACAGCGCACTTCTCTCCTCCCACCCCACCCTACTGGCCCCTCAGAAGATGATCTCTCTCGGCATCCATCTCAAGAGCGCCAGCCACACGGCGAAAAGCACAACAGCGAGCACCCGAAACCAGAGCGGTTCCACTTCAGACCAAGACAATTTGCCGCTGCGCTCCGCCGCCATGGTGCCGTTTCCCCACATCTCACGCAAATGGAACGTCACAACAGCGTGCAGGTGCTCATCTACAGTCATAACACGTCCACGCCGCCGTGCCAATCCTTCAGCCTTTTTCAGCCGCTCCTGTTTCTGCTGCTCTTGTGATAGTGTTGTGTTGGATGTATTCATCAGCGACTGGCGTTGCCGCTTTCTCTCTTCCATATATTCGTGCTCGATTCGGTCCAACTCCGCAATCTCCACCGACGAGAGAAAACGCGGCTGCACAATGCCCCACACCACCAACCGCCGCAACACCGCCACCAGCACTTCCACTACGCGGGTGTCAGCACCGAGCGCCATCTCAACGCCATCAAAGGGGTCCTTTGGGTTGAAGAGCTCATCTACGTCAACGAGGAACGAGACGAGCAACGACACGGGGGGCACCGGATGCCGCTGCGCACCGTAGAGCGTAAGCGTCGGCACCATCAACTGTGACGGCCCCGCGACAGCCCTAATGAAGAGCACCAACGGGCTGCAGCTCACGATAGAGTTCTGCCCCGATTCGCAAAGACGGCGGTACACGAGCGGCAGCAGATCAAACGCTGCCCCAAACGCGTCACAGGCGGGGCAGTCGTGCGTGTAATGGTACACCAGCGCCGTTGGCACTGGACGGCGCGGGGGGGAAAAACGGAATGCGCGACGCTGGAGCCATGCCGCCGGTTGCGTGTCGCCTCCTGCTGCAGTGGGCTCCCTGTCTCCCTCATAAGCAGAAGCAGAAGCAGAAGCAGAAGCAGGAGCAGTAGTAGTAGTAGTAGTAGTAGTAGTAGTAGTAGTATTAGATGCGATAGTGGGCGGCGGACCAATGAGCTGCCGCAAACCGATCCACGGGAGAAACGGCACGGCGACACGCGCATCGCCCGCAACGCGTGCCTCTGCCTCCGCCCACCACCGCGCAACGTGGCGCAGATACGCGACAACTTCGCTCAACTCAGATTTCGCCTGCGTGACGTGCAGCACGCGCACAATGTGCCGCCGCCGCACGTACTGGTCGTAGTAGCGGTGCGCCTCTTGCAGTGTATGGTTAGAGACGAGCAGCCATGGCAGGTCTCGTAGCGTTGCGTTAACGTGTTTGGCATAAGCGTCCATCTCTGGTTGTACGTGCTGCGTGTCGCCCTGCATGTTGTTCGTGAGCCGCATCATCTCGTCCCGCACAAATTGGTACGCCTCTGGGAACATCCCCACGGTACGGTTCGCACGCACCCAACGCTCCATCTCAGCGCGCAACGAGAGCTCTTCGCGTGCGCTCATCAGCGTGTGGCGTGAGGCACTGCAGTGCCACGCCGCCGCCGCACTGTCGCTGCCAAGCTGCGCGGCGAGGTGGTCTGTCAATGTGAAGGCGCGGCACCGAGCATCGGCACACTCAGCCGGCGCCGCGGCTAGGTGTGCTGTCATCAGGAAGGCCACCAGTAGACTGATGCCATTGACGCAGCCATTTTTCATCCTTTTCTACTCCGCGCAGAAATAGGAGGGGAAAAAGAGGGCAAGGGAGGGAGGGAGGGAGGAGTTTGGGAAAGAACAAATGGCTCTAGGTTTGCATGTCTCTAGTAGTTATGGAGTTTCCTCATGGGAGAAACAGCTGCTGCTGCTGCCTCCCAGCGGGAATTCTCCCATGTCCGGCTTGGTGTACACTCTGTCTCACAGGGCACCTGACCATAAGGAAGCAGATCATGTGGGGTGCGAAGACAATGAGACTCCCCCCTCAGTGTGCGTCTTCGAAACGGAAACACGAAACACACACAGAGGTATTAAACAGACACAAAGGAATCAAGCGCTTATTCCACCCCCAAACCGTGAAACACGGCAAGGGGAATGCGCTGGCAGGACTCTGATAGCAGCGACGACACGAGGGCCCCCGCCCCCGCTTCGGATTGGATGTTCTTCCCGTGGCAAATAACAACCCACGTATGCTCAGTGGACAGAGCCGCCTCCACGCAGAGTTGGCCCAGCAGCTCATGTACAATGGTGTCACGGTATGCCGCACTTGCCGCGCCACTTTTTTCGATGTCACAAGGCTGTGTTGGGAACGGCACCCCGAAGTTGAAACGATGACGTCTGCCTGTGTCACCGCGAACAACGTCCACCTCAACACGACGAGACGACATAGACGGCGCCCTCACTGTGGCCACGCATGCGAATGACGTGCGGTGCCGCCCACCACTCCGCTGCGGGACGGTGAGGCACACACCCAGCGGTACGTGCATGCAGCTGCACGATCGACTCGACCACAATGGGGCGGTGTAAGGAGTTCGTTGCTTGTTGTTGATGCTGCTGCTGTGCCCCCCTCTACCACAGCAGTAGATGAACCCGGTAGACGACACCGGAGGGACCCTTTCCAACGCCCGTTTCTCCACTGCGTCTGCCACTGTGCAGCGACGTGGCACAACGGTGCGACACGTCACGGCTCGGTCGCACACGCATGGCTCCTCACGACAGCGCTTCACACCAGCAGAAGTGGGGATCTCCGCCATTCTGAACAGACAATCCCAAAACAAACGAAACAAAAAACAAAAATGCTCACGCAATGTCAATTCCACACTGTGACAAATGCATCGATCCTCTGGATCAGAGGCCTCTACCACTTCTATTACACACAGATGAAGAAGAAAGGTAAAAGAAGAGGAAACATCATATTGGTATAGAGGCACCGTCAAAACCGAATGAGGAAAGCACACATTCACATATACCTGGACCAACTCCTACACCCTCCACGAGACCAAGTGATATTCTGCATATTACTAAAAATTTTTTTTTGGTTGCTAACAGCAGCGTTGAAGGAAGTAACACAAAGGGGAAAATACATCAACTGCCCGCAGAGGCAATACCACACCTGTACGCCATTTTGTGTATGTGCGTGTGTACCCTCTTCCACAGGCATTTGCTAACTTTTCCCCTTGTGTCTGTCTATTTCCAGGTCGGTCTTCCATCGCGCGCTGCCTCCGTTCTCATCCTCCCACTCCCATTCTCAACATGGCGTCACCACGTAAATCCTAACCACCCTAAGGATTACTTCACTAACTATCACAACATGGCCATCTCACTGCAAAAAGAAAAATGCGCTCAACGCACTCTTTTTGGATCCACCTAACACCACCAAACGAGACAGCGCGAAGCGCCTCCTAAAACTCTCATTTGCCCTACACGCATACTACAGTTTTCCAAGATATATTGTGTTGGCGTCAATCCACTTGTACGGCGGTATTTCCAAATTGAGCGGCGCTGGACCCTGACGGATGCGGCCTGAGGCATCATAGTGGCTGCCGTGGCATGGACAGAAGAAGCCGTTGAAGAGTCCTTCGTTCGGAAGAGGGATGCAGCCAAGGTGTGTGCAGATAGCAATAACAACGGCCTTCTCGCGTTCTTCGGGGAATCGGGCCTCATCTGTCTCTGGGTGTTTAAGCGCGCTCAGCGGTGTCTCCTGTAAATCCTTCATCTGACGCTCACTGCGCCGGTACACGAAGATTGGCTTGCCACGCCACACAACAGTCTTGCACTCACGTTCCTCTAGTTCGCCTACCTCCGCCTCAATGTTCATTTGGCCCACCATCGACAAGGCCGGCTGGCCGACGTACCATAGTGGCAGCACGGTGTAGCGAACCATAAGAATCACAAAACCCAAGAGGGCAGAGTTCAGTGCGTAGTCCGTCACACGCGCGCGATCCTCCAGCTCTTCCGACAGCTTTGGCTTCAAAATGTACTTGCGAAAGAAGTCCTCGTCCCACATAGAGGCATCGTAATCCTTGAGGGCAACCCCCGCAGTAGCCTCGATGCGGCCCTGTGGAGCTCCATCGGGATACGTGTTGAGCACCACCTCCGAGGAGGTGTCCACTTTACAGAGAGCGGGATCAGAATACTTTGCGTACTGGCCGTACTTATCTGTCATATCCTTTGACACAGGCGGTTTCATAAACTCATCCGACCACGAGTTCACTGGTTTGTCCTTCACAGTCAGAGGGTTAGAACCCTCCAGCTGCTTGAAGACCAGCGAAACGCGACTGAGGCGCGTCCTCTGGATGGCGGAGATGCACGAACGACGGAACATGCGTGCAAGCGCTGGTACGTATGTGTCTGAGAGTGTGTTTCTCACGTGGTGCCAAGAAACGATGCTCCTCCAGACGGGTCACATGAAAACAAAAACAAACAAAAGAAAAACAAGATGGGAGTGGAGAAGAGGGGAAAAGTAAAGACGGAAATTCTGTAGCTGATGCGGCACCACAGGAGCCACACACAACTCTCGCACAAGGCAGAGAAAACAAAAAGCAGAATGCTGGAGAAAACTCAAAGGCAAAACAGAGTTTGAGAGAGAGAGAGAAAAGAAACTTCAATAACTCACTATACTCCAACGCCCACTTCCCGCCCTCATCTCGGTGCTGCTACTCGGCGCTCACAGGAGGAAACATTGAGAGCCCGACCATAAAGGCGATTCTCCGCGTTTTTTCGCTCGTCGTCGCCAGCACCACAGGCGTGCGGGCCCAATAGGCACGTGACCTAGACCTGAACAAAGGCGTCGGCTTTCCACATCTAGTCTTTGAATCACCCCTGTCCTTGTCGTTCTGCCTTGAGGCGATGACGCCTGCGACAAGGTAGTCCATCTCGCTGGTCCGTTCTGCAGCAGTTGGGTCTGTCACATGGCCGTGCGACGGTGAAACGAACCGCTCTAGCTGCTTTGCCACCAGCACACTCGCGACACCAGGGCAACTGGCAGAGATTGCACCCAACTCCTGGCGAGCCAGCATATCAGCTATAAAGAAACGCTCTTGGCTGTCCTCGAGGAGGGCCACTTCGTCTTGCAGCCCCAGAAGTGTCACACCGCCCTGACTCCTCTTCACTGGGATAGAGTATGGGCTTGATGAGCTGTTCCACTCCCGTTTCGTGTTTTTGGTTGTAGTTGCATGCATCAAGGACAACAAGACTCGACGTGAGTGAAAACGACGTGGTCCTTGATCATCCAATGCCGAGTGCACCACGTCAAGAAATACAGAATGCGGAATCACCACCTCACGGTGCTTCGCCAATTGCAACAGCTGATTGAAATTCTTGAGGAGGAACGGGGTGTCAGGGACGACAATGTTGTGGTGAAGTCGACGGCTGATTAATAACTCTAGACGCCCCGCCGCGTCGTGGATATCGGCACCGCCAAAGAGCTCACCTGCTGTGTCTGTCCACGCCGAGACGGCAGGGCCGCCTTCCCCAGGCCACCCTCCCCTCAGACGACTCCTACTGCCGCCACCACTACTACTGCTTCTGCTGCTGATATTGCTATTTTTGCAGGGGAGAACATCGTGGGCTTCTTCCGGCAAGACGAGTGTAAATGCAGCACGTTGCACAAAGAGCATGTCCCACGACGCGGCCAAGGATTGGATGAACTTCAATGGCTCTTCGCACAGCGGCCTCACGGGGTCCACAATGGCCTCAAGTGCGGCCAACCTCGCCTGTTGCACCTCGCTCAAGCCTTTGGTAACCGCAAGGCTACCGAAAACTTCAAATAGAATCTTCTGACGTGCCGTCTCTGTAGACGGTGTTGTAAAAACAAAGGGGTGATCCAGCACTGCACGACCAATGCGCACGATCGGCGCCACCTCAATCTGCGCCGACAAACGCTTGTCATCCACGACATTGCGCATCTGCGAGAGAAGGTAATTAAGCCCCAACCTTTTCTCTAAATTCTGCGTCGCGCGGAGCAGCTGTATGTTCTGTTGAAGAAGAATGCGAAAGTGTTCAGCTTCTGTCATCTCCGTTGGTGCCTCATTTGAGATGTACGGAACCTCCGTATTGGCCCGTGTTATGTGGAGCGAGCTTGACACCGCGCTGTGAGTTGGCGATGCCGACAACACAGCACCCCGCCCTCTCTCCACTTGCACGTCCCACATATGATCGCAATCCTCTTCTTCTGCCGCTATCATCTGAGCCACGACCATGCTCTGGTGGGCACGGTATGGCTGTTGCTGTAGCGCCACTAGTGCCAGTTCATCCACACCAAGGCCTTGCAGTGTTCTCCAGTTTAATTGTGTTGGACGCGCCGGCACGCGACGGTGACGCCGTGGGACGACGACGTGGCCCGAGCGGTTGAGCAGTTCGTGAATCCGCAACGCATCCGCCGCCTTGTGGTGCAAGATACAGAGCCGCATGCATTCCCCCACTGCTGCCTGGATGAGCGACACGTCCTGGGCGCCCGCGTTGGGCTCGAGGAGCGACAAGGCGACGTGCATAGCGGCCTCCCACGGCACCGCTGCAGCGTAGGCGGCCTGCAGGAGCTGCTTGACCCTGCCGTCCATCCCTACACGACTTCTTCCGCTACAACAGCAGAGTGCAGAGGAAGGACGGGGAGAAGGGGCGAATGTAACATGCACAAGGCAGGGGTAGCCCAGAAGCAGACACACACACACACACATATATATATATATTTATCGTAAAACTCTGCGAGGAACCAACCAAAAAAGAACAACACTAGCAACAAGTCCGGTTAGGATCCTTCAGCCCAATCGCTCACAAAGCGGTGAGGCCACATACAGATCATCATTAGACTCCACGGAGAAGGTCTCCACAAATTTCGGTCGCCACCGCTTAGGAGGCCACTTACGCTTCGCTGCACGGTTTGGGCTTGGCGCTGCCTTGAGCCGCGACCCAACACGAAGAATGGCGGTCGGCTCGTAGCGCTCACGTGACGCCCATGAAAGGAGCTGCTCCGTTGGGCACACCTCGCGGCACCACCGCTGCACAAACGCTCGGGCGTCCTCTTCGTTAGCGCTACTTGGACGCCAAACGAGAACGCCTGTTGCGTTCTCGGAACCTTCCGGATGGAAGACGAATGTGGCGCCCGTATCGCTTTTGCTTCTGCTGCTCTGGATGAAATTCCAGTAAGCATCGCGCCCCCTTTCTTCTTTTCCCGTCCCAACAACGCCATGGTGAACGAATACTACTACAGTGATGCTCAGCATAATCAGCAGCACCAGACCATATTTCTTCTGCACAGACCGTCTGCACTCCTCACGGTACTGCTCTAGGCAACGCGCAAATTCATCTCCCGCGTTCCTTGAGGCGAACCTCTCCGTCCAGGGGAATTTCGTTTCCACCGTTTCCACAGTCTGCCCGCAGCGCGCCGCAGCATAAATTACTTTCGTTGCAGCGAACACCGACAAGGCATTGAGGAATTCAGTAAACGACAGAGACCTCAGGTCCTCAACCTTCTTCGCTCCTTCCACGCCGTGTCGATCGTAGACGGCCCGCCGGATGTCATCCTTTAGTACCTCATAAGCTTCAATTACCACACGACACGCCTCCCCCGCCTTCTTGTCTGGATTCTTGTCCGGGTGGAGCTGCTGGGCCAGCCGGTAGTAGCTGCGGCGTATACTCGCTGCATCGGCGGTCTTCGGTATGCCGAGCACCACGTAATAGTCCGTGCGATTATTGAGGATCCTGTCGATGTGGTGGTTCTCCATTATGGAGTGTGTAGTTATTTGCTTCTGTATATTTGTTTGCTTCTGTGTGCGTGCGTTCGCCCCGTTTTACGCCCTCACGCGAGGACCCTCCGTGTACCGGGGCTGGGGCAGATCACGCTCAGAGTCGCTACTCAAACCAACTGACACGCAAACTCAAAGAGAAGAACAAAAAAAAAAACCAGACTAACGAGTGGAGCCCATGCATTCCTCGCCGCACTCCGGTGCATGCATGGAGGACTAAACGGTACAAAGCAAGATAGCTGCGTGCAAACAACCGTGGGTCCGCGCATGTCGCTTCGCTGCAGCAACAACACCCACCCCCGCTTGGAAGCCATCAAATCCAAAGAAGGGGAAAATCCCACGTGAAGCGAGATCAAATAAACTTCAAAAAAAAAAACGAAACACATCTGTTGTCAGTATTATCCCCCACCCCGACTTCTCTCTCTCTCTGTTTCCCTCCCCTAATCATACTGCAAGTAAAAAAGGGTGTGAGGGAGATGCTAGCGCTGGAGAAACAACTCACAGCCCTCGTGGGCAGCCGTAAATGTAACCTCGCACGTGGCATCGGCGTCAGCGACGGCACACTCCCCGTGCAGGAAGAAGTCGTTGACGCGACTCAGCGGAAATGCCCCGCAGCGCTCAGTCTGGCGCTCACACGCCGCCACCAGTGCCTGCATGGCATGACGCACGCCTGGCTCTTCAGCTGATACAGCAGCAAAATCCACAACAACAGCAGCAGCGTCCCCGGTATCCTCGCGTGGTCGCTTTACTCCATGGGCATTTCGCTGCGGTGCCTCCAATGTAGTGAGAAAGTCATCGGTGACCGCCTTGAGCCCACACGCCACTCCCCACGGCGGCCAGGCAGACAGCAGGGCCGCGCACACCCACGCACGCTCCTCCACTCCAACGCTTGCGTGCGTGCTGTCCCGGCTGCCAGTGTCCGTCACCTGCATCAGCAGTAGTAGCAACCCAAGCGCCTCCAACGAGGCTGATAACTTCGGGCAGGCTCTCAGCAGCGCGTAAACCAAACGTGCCGTCGCAACGGTGGCGCACCGCCGAGCGAACATGTCGTTTGACCACGCAAGTAGCAGTGGCGCCGCCTCCAGCAGACCTGCATCCGGCGGTACGTCCCTCGTACGACGCTCAGCGGCCGATATGATGTATGCGCGTAGCAGGGCATTTTGTGGTGGGCTCTGCGCCCAGTCATGCAACGGGACAGGCACGATGGGACAAGAGCGCTGCACTCCGCGTCGCCGCATTGCCGTCTCCACCATCCACCTCACCGTTGCAAGTGTTGCCGATAGACCAGGAGGGAGTTTCCCCGCTCCCGCAAGTCGAAGCTTTGCCTCAAGCTCAACCTCGTGCCGCAGGGCGAATTCGCTGCCGTGCGTGCGCTCCAGCAGAAGGAATAAGATTTGCCACACATACACTTGCGCGCCCTGGATCTCAACATGCTGCATAGCCCACTTGAACACTGTGTGGTCGCAGCAACTCGCCGCACACATTGGAAGTCGGGCGAGCGTCAGCACGACAAGACGCGCCACATCTCCTACCAGGTCGGGTGTCTCTCTGTAAAGCAAGAAGGGCGTCACGTGCTGCTCGAGCAGCGGGCGGATGAATGCCGTCGATGCAAAGGTGCCTTCGCCCGCCGCCAACGAGACGCACCGGCACAAGAAGCGTATGACACAGCGATTGAGGGAATGGATAGCGGCATCCAACCTCCGCGCCACACCAAACAATTGTGAAAACACGAACCCACAGCTTTTAGCATGCCTCACAACAAGACGGCAAAGTGCAGTCCGATCGCTATCCTCTGGTGGATGTGCACCCGAGAAGAGGTGATCGTGCGCCTCTTCAACGTTCCCGGTAGAGGCGTCGCCCTCAACGTCTACGGCAGCCGCAGAGACCAGGATGGCCAGCAGCGCCGTACCCCAGCCGCGAGAGCCCAACGCATCCAGCCATGACGGCTCCGCGGAACGAAAAAGAAGAAAGAAGAGGTGTCTGAGTTCCTGCGGGACAGCAGAAACCCCACTCGTCACGTAGCAAGAATCAAGGTGTGCAATGTCTCTGCGGGGGAGATCACCCATCCATCTGTAGTAGGCTGCGCATGTCTTCAGTGCGGTGAGAACAGCAATGGCACAACCTTCATCATCCATGCTCCTCTTGTAGTTGTCCCCGACAACACCCGGTGCCAGTAGCCGCCTCGCCTCATCGGAAAAACAAGGAAGCAGGGAAAGTTGCAGAAAAAAAAAATCATCCAACGTCTCNATGTCCACTGGCTGAGGACAACCGGCGGTTGCCAGCGCCAACAAAAGTGATGCTGCCCAGTGCGGGTGGCAGCAAAAGGTCCTATCCAGAAGCACCTGGAGCGAGGTCGAGTCATCCATTACGAGAGGGTCCGGCATGCCCACACACGTACCCTTGCGGTTTGCCTCCGCAACACACATAAAGTGGCCCACAACGCGTGCCCGAAGATCGGGCGAACTGCCTGGGATACGAAGTAAGAGGGTAAGAAGACCGTTTTGAAGTAGATAGCGCACCTGTTGCTCAAGAAGTCTGTCCATCATCCTCACCTCGTTCGCGCCACCGACAACATGCTCCAGCACAGTCGCGCTAAGTGCCAACAGTGCATCACCGCCTATGCTGTCACTGTTGTTGTCAACTGTAATCCGACTATCCACACAAACAGAACTCCACTCTAGAAACTTTCGCAGAGCCTCTCCCAGAAGCTCAGCAGCAACGCGAAGCAATGCTACCTGACAGAAGGGAAGTAAAAACGCCACGACAGAAATGAGGCTGCAAAGCGTCTCGCTACGGAGAGACATAAGGCGGTTGCCGAAGGGCCACTGGCTGTCGCATGCCTCATCCTCTGTGAACGCCGCACCGCATGACTCCTGCAGTAGATGAAGCAGCGTGTTTGCAATCATCGAGACATTCACAGGAAGTAGCGCGCATGCCTCAATCCTTTCCCCGCCACACGCGGCCTTGAGGCAGAGAACCTGTACCAAGAAACATTGAAGCGAAATGGAGTTTCCGTTCTGCACACTCTGCACAACCCGCTGCGCCACATCATTGACGTTAGTGAAGCGGTCTGTGACTAAAGCCATAAAGTGCGGTCCCTTGACTGCCTCTTCGAACGCCTTTCCATTGTTGCTCGCAAGCTCGAAAACAACACGGAGAGTGGGGCCCGGAGGGATCATCTCGAGTGGGAGACTGTTCAGCAGCTGCACCAGGGCGGTAGCGGAATCTGACGAAGCTGTTCGAAGAGACTCGATCACGTAATCTGACGCATCAGAGCACTCGCCAAACAACCGCGTCGCGATGAGGAATTCCCGCAGCGTTTCAGCCGCAGCCACAACAACGTCAGCATTGGGATACAGCAACAGCAAGATCAGGTTGCGAATAAGCCTCACTGGCGCGCCTAGAGATGTGTCGCCTCTGTTGCTGCTTCTACTATTGCCATCAGCACCTCCACCGCCCCTTGCGACAAACAACATTTCTCGTTTTGTAGTTTCGTAAGCCAGAACGAATCGCGCGAGACAAATTGCATTAACAACCACAGGTTCATCGTCGCGGAATGTTTCCAACGCCCACGCCAAGTAGTCCAGAAAGGAATTGCAGTGGGGGTTGCAGGTGGTGCGGGACAGCACCACGGCCAAGTTCTCCAGCCACGCCGGCTGCCCCGCGCACGTCTCAAAGACTTGATGCAGCAAGTACAGCACCAGCTCCACTCTGTAGGCGTCGCACAACGGCTCCATCATCGCACAGACCGACGGCACGCAGCTTTCTGCAACTGCGCGCAGAAATGTGGGGCTCGTGTCAGCCAGGTCCGTAAGGAGGAGGAGGCAGGCGGAGGTATCGCCTTCCTGCACCAGCCCCACACACACCGCATCGCAGACGCAGCGTGCTAGCCCAGCGAGCACCGTCCGCAGAGAGTTTGCAGCGATTTCCCTTTCCTCCACGCCGAGGCAGTCGCACTTGGCTGGCGGCGCCCCAGCACTAGGCGAGGGGGCAACGGTCACCGCATCCCTCAGCAGCGTGAAGATGAGACTGAGCAGCGCAAGAGCCGCCTTGTAGAGCGGCACGTGACGACGCAACGTAGCAGTCGAGCACAACTTCCCTGCCAACTGCGCGAGCACGTCGTGAAACGAAAGGAGGGAGCGCCACAGCGATACGGGTACATCATGCAATATCGCAGAACTGTCTGTTGAGCAGTCAACTGGTACTCCCACCGAATACTTGCCGACCTTCGGGCAAAAACTCTGCTGCAGAAGGAGCGATGCGTCCTGCAGAGCCCGAGCAGCTGAAGCTGCTGAGAGTTTGTCGAACTGAGCGACAAGGCACGTGATGCACAACGTCCGGCGGGGGGCGAGCACTCCTGCGGGTCCCGCACCGTTCACCGGGAGGATACAGTGATGAAGGCTGTGACATTCGTACATGGATCCCCTTCCCCGCCCCACCCGATCACCTCTGACCGGTAGTAAACAAGCCAACTAGCAGAGAAATAAGGGGAGAGAGGAAGGAGAGATGAAGGAAGATGAATACGAGAGAAGGGGCTTTTTTTGCATTTCTTTTTTTGTAGCGGTTGTTTACTCTCTCTTTCTCCCTCTCTCTCTCTCCCTATACATATATATATATATATATATATATATAGATAGATAGATAGATTCAGCACTTCACTCGCTATGGGCCCAAGATAATCTTCTTCTCGTTTTGCGATAGAATGAAACATGTGGGGCGCCCCAGATACCATTGGCGATGACGCCAAGCAATGTGCTTCACTTTTTCGTCCTGATCCTTCTTTTCTTTTTCTCTCTTCGTAACACAGACGTGAAGATGCGGATAGGGCACAACGGACAAAGTCACAATTCGCATCCTTCTGCCCCCACGGCGATCCTGCCACAACACCGGAGAAATAGTTTAAATGTTTTATGCGACATGCACTGCGGCTGCAGCTGCCGCAGATCCATCGCGATCCTTGAAAGCCTCCAGCGCTTCCGGGTACGCCACCACGTAGTACGTTGTTCCATAGTGCATGTTTCGCAGCTCCTTGATCTCCAGGCGTGACTCCTTTAGGTAGTCCCGGATCGGCGTGTTCCACTTGCAGCCGTGGGTGTTCACCTTATGGCGGTTCTCAAAGTAATCNAGGAACCAGTTGACGGGTGGGTAGGGGCTGCTTCCGTGTTCGAGCAGCAGAATGAGACCGCTCGGCTTCACCACCCGCTGCATTTGGCGCAGCGCCATGACGGGGTCGTGCAGGTGGCAAAGACCGAACATATCCACCACGCAGTCGAACTCGCCATCGGCAAATACCTCCAGGTTCTCCGACCGCACACGACGCACGTCGTACTTGGGATAGGACGTATGCGGCAGGCGGTACCGCAGCGCCTGAAGTTGCTGCGCGTTGGAGTCGCACATCACAATCTCATGCACAGGGTAGGGGTATGCCCCGATGTTTTGGCCGTGACCGGCAGAGAGCTCCAGCACTTTACCGTACGTTTGCTGCAGCAACTCCTCACGCAGCTCGCGAATCTCCTTAGGCTGTCCCACCCAGACGCGGAAAAGCGTAAGAATGCCACCAGCCACTGTGATGCAAGTTATCACGACACCCCAAATCTTCAGCCGCTCCTCTAATGGGCGTTTCTCACGCTGCAGGCGGAAGTACTCCCGTTGCTGGTAGTACTCATGATGCCAAAACGGCTTCACGTGTTTTGGAATGTCGTCAGTGTAGTCGTAAAAATTTTGTTTTCCCTTCGCTAAGATAGGTGGGTGCGTCGTTTCCCACTGCCACACAATTGCTTCCGGCTGTTTGTCACGCCCTTCCCGCTCTAGCGCGTGTCTGGCGTACTCCAGCACTACATCATCGGATGGCTTCAGAAACCCGCCCCTCTTCTCAATACTCGTGTCCATATTCGTGAGGGAATCCCCACCGGTGTGGTTCTCCACTGTCTTGTCGCCGTTTGCGACCCTTTCGTTCTCCGTCGGCGTCTTGCCCGACTGCGTGCTGCACCACCGCGCGAGGATCGTGACAGACAGCGCGGACACCGGCCGGGCGGGGGGCAGACGGCGCAGCATCATTGGATGATTCAGACGCCTCCACTACACTGCCTCTCTCTCTCTCTCTCTCCCTATCTAAAACTCTCTTGTTGCACCGCAACGCACGAAAGAAAGATGGCGATGATGATTAGGAGGAAGAGGAGGACATGCAGCACAGCAAAAAAAAAAAGGAGGCCATTCGATAGGCGTGGTCTTCCACCAGGGGAGGTGGAGGAGATGATTGAATGAAACAAAAGCAAACGAAATGACCGCGCTCTTTATTCGTATGAGGAACCACCCCGCAACTGAGTGACAGGCAGACTTCCTGCCAGCACCTGTGGGCTTCATCCACGTCAGAGCAAGAACAAAAGACTTTAGGATTGACGCAGAGATGCGAAGCTAGCGCGACTACTTCGTTCAGCACACACACAAAAAAGCAAGGCTGGAAAATAGCAAAAAGGAGAGGCGAGCCAAACATAGAGTCACCACGCAATCTCAAGAAGCACTCCTATATAGCACCAGTGTGAACAGCACACCAGTAAGTCTTTCCTCTTTCTCATTCACCCCATGCAGCTACATTGAATCGGCAACACAAAGTCCCCGGAAAGACGAAAACCTCAAAGGGGCTTCCCCCCAGTCCCTGTGTAATGTGCTGACGAATACTGCACAGGGGGATACTGTGAGGATGGACTGGAGTGTTGTAGGCCAGGGAGAGCTTGTGGGTACTGTCCTGGTGGAGCTCCACTTGACGCAGGCATGATAGGAATTCCCTGCGCCGCTTGGGGATAATATGGCTGCTGCTGCTGCTGAGGAGGAGGAGGATAATACGGCTGCTGCTGCTGCTGCCGAGGAGGAGCATAATACGGCTGCTGCTGCTGCTGCTGCTGCTGAGGAGGAGGATAATATGGCTGCTGATATAGTTGCGGAGGAGGATAATACGGCTGCTGATATTGTTGCGGCATGTAGTGCATGAGGTTCTGGTTCACTGTAATTGCGCCGAACAGAGAGAATGGTTTGTACAAGTCAACTGGTTTGGAGCTTGACAACTGAGGCACCTGCCTGTACTTTTTATTCCGAAGCATTTCGCGTGTTTTAACGAAAATATCCGCATAACTGAGCCCTGAGGTATTTGTCAACGCCCAGGTCAGTGCCTGCGTAGCGGCCCCACCAGCAGCCACAGAACCCGCTCCAAACGACGCCGTATTCGCCACGTCTGCACTTGTTCCAGAGTCTGAGCAGCCGCTGAACATGACCACATCACCCTGGGAGAAATTATTGCGACGAACCATCCGCATCTCATGTCGCGCGCCAGAAAGCATATTGTTGCCGCCCACAAAGGCGAATGGCAGGTCCAGCAATGAAGCGGAATGGCAACAGTCAAAGACGGCCGTCATGCGTACCCCAGCAGGGAGGGGCCGCACCAGCAATGCAAACAAATCGTCGTCAAGGATGGCACCACGTGATTCATAGTCCAATGGCACAAGACACTGGTCGTACTCCTCCTCTGCATCGTGTTCCGCCCGCGTTTGCGTCCCGTGCCCGGAGTAGTGGAAGAACAGCACGTCCCCTGGGCGCACATCGTGCACCAACCACGCCATGTGCCTGATAATATTTTCACGGGTCGGCATGGCCGTGTAGTTGGGAAACTTTGGATCGTCCACCAAAATACAGCACTCCGATATGGGAAACTGGATGCGTTGGAGAGTACCAAGCATTTGCCTTACATCGTTGACACACCCGCTGAGTTGGCTCTGCGTCCCTGTGTAGTTGATGCCAATGAAAAGGGCTTTCACACGTCCTCCCCTATAAGGTGTCGGCGCCCGGTATGGAATGACAGGACGGCAGTTGCGCGCCTCCCGAAACGCCGCTTGAATATCGACACGTTTTGGTCTCTTCACGTTGCCGATGGAAGAAACCATATACGGAAGGGCATTGGCCACTAGGTTGCCCGCTAGCATGCCTAGGAGCAGATCCATCTCTTCCCGTGTCCTCAAAACTCTGATCAACTTGTATTTGTTTTTTTTTTTTCTTTTTTGCCTTTCTTTGCACTTGCGTACAGATATGTATGTATGCTTGCCTGTATGTATTGATTTGTCTTTTTTTTTTTTCTTTCTGGTCTTTGTTACTGTTTTCTTTTTTCTAACTCTGCCTTGTTGGTGGGAGTTTTGCTTCTAATGGTATGGGGCGGGGAAGTGCCAAGCCTTTAAGCGAAAAGAAGAAGAAAGAACACAAACACACACACACACATGAAAAAAAAAAAATGGAATTTTGGACCCGTACCCATGCTTCTCCTTCAGCGCTTCGAAACAACGCATGTGGTTGCCATGCGTGTTTCTGCATAAGCACAGATGTGCCCACCGACCCGAGGGAGCTTTTTCTTTAAAAAAACCATATGCGGTTCATCGGCTGCAGCTTGTGTAGAAGGAGGAAACGCTCCACCACATATTGGCTGGGGGCGAGAAATGGACTCACCAACAGACCGTATGCCTGGCTCGCAATGGTCAAGTCGACGAGCTCATCGTGGGCACTGTCAACCTCCCCTGAGCGGAAGTGCGCAATGCTCCACCATGCGGGCTTGCTGTCAAGCACCTTCAGCTCCTGCAATGTCTTAGCCGGCAGACTGATGTAAACCGCGTCAAAGGCCTTACCCATGACGTTCTGCGTTTCCTCCTCAAGAACCTCAGTGATGCGTTGCACGAGCTGTGCTACCGAGGGGGAACACTGGAAGAAGGTGTCGTTACTTACGTGACTCTCGAGGTGCTGCTTCTCCTCCTGAAAGTTGGCCAACAGATACAGGAAGTGATTCCCACGGGGTTCATCACGGTGCGTGAAGCAATCTTTCACTGAGTTGCGCGCCACAACGGCCAGAACCTTGCGACCAGTCAGTGTGTTCCCTGTGTAGTAGTTCTTGGCGTCACGCACCACGTCGGGGCACGGCCGCACCATAGAACGTGTCACCCAGAAGTTTCGCTTGCCGTAGAAGTCGTCATCTCCGGCGGCGCCCTGACATGTCCGCCAGAACTCGCCGCTGCTTTCTGAGGGGGCGCAGTCCATGCAGAAGGTAACCAGTGGCGTTTGCACCAAGTCCTGCAGGGCGGCAGCGTTCCTTTCTGTATCCTCGTTCCAACGGAAGGTGGAGAAGACACTGGCGTTAGGGTCGTTGCGGTGGTACGCGCAGAGGGCGACGTCGTAGACGGTCTGTATGCGCTCCACTGCGGTTGCCACAACCTCGCGAGAATCTGTCTCCTGCCCGACCAATACTGGTGAGTCACCAGAGCGGTTGAAATATGTGGGGACTTTCGCCTCCTCTTTATCTGGGAGGAATATAGCCGCCTTATCCTGCGGGGCCCCCTCGTTGTAGCGCCAGAGCATCCGTTGTGTGGTGTTTGCCTCCCTTTGCTGCCGCAGTACTGGTGCGCCGGAAATGACCTCCTTCCATTTCTCCAGAAGCGAATCGTCGGAGAGAAGTGTGCAGCCCGGACGGAAGGCGCACAGCCGTCGGTGCGTCTGGCGAATATTCTTCAGTGACTCGTGCAGGAAGACACCGTGCATACCCTCGCCTCCCGTCAGCTTGTTCAGTGTGTTGCGCAGCGTCTGCAGGTCAGTCTCCGCCCCCTTCACCGCCGCAGAAGGCATATCGCCCCCTTTGCCGTATTCTTGTTCAAGAACGGTGAGCTCGGTGCGGCACTTTTCGTCCGCATCATTTACTCGATCATACTCGCGTGTCAACTTCAATATTTTATTCTCCATTTCCATATTCTCGGAAATAATCGAATTGATAGTCTCGTTCTTCGAGGACACGTTACCTTTCAGCATGGTAAGCTCATTGTCACAGTTTTCCAGCATCGCGACAACGTGCCGTTCACGCCCCTGGTGCTCACTGTATGTGGCCATAAACTGCTGCTCCCACGCATTCGAACCGTGGCGGTAACCAAGTGCAAAGCAAACAATAACCGTGGTTACCAGCGTCGCCAGCAGGACGGGGTGGAGTCGCAGTTCACTACGATGCTCCTTCATTCTTGGCCAAAGGAAAATAATAAAACGGCGTTGCCAAGTTGGGAAACTAAAACTACCTATTGACACTTGCACCGTATCGGCTTCCTATGCTACTCAGAGAGGAGAAAATAAGGAAACAAACAAGGCGTTTTTATTCAAGAGCAGCAACAGCAACAAGAGGTTTAAAAAAGGAGCATTTCAGGGACCCTCATCCTCCCCCTTTTTTGCTCCTTTTTTCCTCTCTCTCTCTCTCTCACTCTCACACACACTCTCTCTCGTTCTCTCTCCTTCGTGCCTCCTCGAGTCATTTTATTTCTCCTATCTGTCCTTTCGGTCCCATTATTAAGCTGCGCCTCCTCCTCCTCCTCCTCCTCATTCCCCACTCTCTCTCTCTCTCTCTCGCCTCCTCTCCAACTCCGCAGATCGTGACACCACAAGCGTTCCACAAGAACCCTATTCGGGAACAATAGCTTCGAGGCGAAGCCGCAACCACATCCACGCACAGGCCCAATCGCTCCATTTCATCATCCTTTCTTTCTTTTTTTCTTGTGAGCAGTACGGTACCTCTACAGCAACTTCATCATCTTTTCACGGACCACCGCCGCCTGCCCCGCGTGCTTTGGCTGGGTCGTCGGATAGCAAGTCAGTGCCAACTCCAGTGCATGGCTCAAGAGCGCAATGAGCGTGTGAGGACGCTGTCTCATTGGGAGTCGTAGAGCGACGTCTGCCGTCTGCTCCGCCAAGTCAAGGACCGTAACGGGGTGCATGCGGAACGACACTGCGCAGCGCAGCGCCTTGTCTGCGGCTCGCAGGAACCAGTGCATGGCGTCTTCATCTGGCGCAGCGCCGGCCTGCGTGTTGTAGTCCTGCAGGCTAGCACGCGCCCTACAGTACTCCGATAGCGCGGCGCAGACGCGAAGCACTTGAAGCATGCGCAGGCTCGCGCTTGTGTCGACCGAAATGAAGGAGTTGTTCACAGCCTCCCCCACACGGTACACCTCCTCGTTCTGGAGGGCCTCTGGGGAGCGTAAGATTTGCTCCAGGCGCACCTGCAGCGACTTGGACTGCTGGCACTCCACCGCCAGCCAGACGGCAGGCGCTGTGTCACCGCATGCAAGCCGCTCTCTAATGATTCTGTCATGCAGCACCTCGACCGCCTTGCGCCGGTAATAGTCGAGAGAGGCAATCCACTTGTTTAGAGTCTCGCTTGACGGGTACTTGTCGTGCAGCAGCCGTCGCAGCGCCACCTGGAAGGCGCTGTTCTCTTCCCACGACGAGTGAATAAAGGTGTGAAGAGCCAGAAAGGTGTAGCGATCGCTCACCGCGCACGGTGCCCGCTCCGTCACGATGCGGTATAGCACGGCGGGGTTCATGAAGGGCGAGTACACCACATACGTCGCCGCCACTCGCCAGAGAAGCGGGTGGTGACGAAAAATGGAGACAAAGTCCTCAACAAGCTCATTTCGGGTAAACGTGACATCGATCTGATTCACCGCGGCGCCTAGCGGTGGCGCACATATGTCTGCGACATGCGCCGCCATGAACAACAGTGCGAAGCGCCGAAACAAAAGAGAGTCACTGTGTGACCTCTGCTTGCGTCTTGATTCATTTGTGTCAAGTTCTTCGTTGATATCAGCGTCATCGGTGTCCGCATCGTCGCCGCTGTACGATGGGGAGGAGACGATGTTACTGTCGTCGCCAGGACGCATAGGTAAGCACTGGTCGCGGCGAACGGCCTCCCCCACGAGTCGCATCGCGCCAACGAGATCGGCGATACAGTGGCTGCCAAGCACCCCCTCGATGACGCCGACATACCATGGCCCCTTCACAGGGCCCTCCCACGACTCCATCACGTTTTGATAAACGTGGTGCACCTGACGAAGCGTCATGTACGGCTCGCACACCGCACACACAGCGGCAACATAGTCTATGACATCTAGCTCCAGAAGGTGGCAGCTCTGCAGAATCAACGCCGCGTCGCCACTCGCCATCAAGAGGAGATCCAGGCACAACGACCTCAGCTGTTGCGCTGCCTGTACAGCCATGCCGGACTCGTCGTGTGATGCCGTCAAGATACGCTTAGAGTCCATGATGAGGCCGTTTGCGGTGTTCATCCACTCTCTGTGCTCAATGCTGTTCTCCGGTGGCTCCAGCAGGAGTCGGATCACATCCGTCAAGACGCTCTCCTCCTCCGCGTCAAATGGGTCCGTTGCGCACGACCGCAGGTAGTCCACGAGTGAATTGATGAGGTCCGCCGCGACAGGGAAGAGACCGGCGAGGAAGGCACGCTGGATGGACACCATGTACGGCCCCATGAGCGCGTCGAAGAGGTCAGCCTCCTCCGCAGGGGGGAGGGGGGCCCGCGGCCGCACCGCGTCGAGTGTGTCCCGCACCCGGTAGAGCGCTCCCACGTCGACGAAGCGGGCGCGGTACCACTCCAAGTAAGGCGCGCTTGCGTTGACGCCGTCGTCCCCACCGCCTTCCTCAAGGATGGCGATCACCACGGAGACGAGCTCCCACACCACCTGCGCCGTCGGGTCCACCACCCCTTCCTCGCCGATCGCCTTTAGGCGCGAAAGGAAGAGCTCCGACCACTTGCACACGGTCTCCGGGTAGGAGGAGGAGACGGCGGCGGCCTTGGCAGCACCAACAGCCCCACGAGACTCCGTCCCTTCCGCGGAAGGATGGAAGGCCTCACCACCAATGTATTTGCTAAACCGCACCCGCTGCAGCTGAACAAACACATCGAACCCCGATCGCACGGCGGTGATGAGAGCAGGTGGCAAATCCGTCCCTGCCCACTTCATTGTCCCTTTTTTTTAATCTTCTCCGCTCAGCTGTCTCTGCCCTCGCACAGGGGGAAATGCCGTGACGATAGTGTCACCTCCGCCAACCACAAAGGAAGGACAGGAATCTATGCCAAAAGAGGCCAACAAGAAATTGAAACAGATAGAACGAAACGAACAAAATACCCACACAAAGAGAGAGAGGGACGAGGCGCTATACAAGAAGTTTTGTTGTCAGTCTGAAAACACCGCAAGATCAGGCACATCAGAGAAGCAAACGCAACACAATAATCAAAAGAAGGACAACAACGGAAATCCGAATGAAGGAGAAAAATCTGACGAAAAGTGACTTCACCTCTATGCGTTTCTAAATACGCAGACCTTATTCCACGATTCTTATTGTCCCATTTCTCATCCTGTGAAGCCGCTGCCATCACCCACCAACAACTGGTGGAACCTCCTCCCTCTCTGACAAAGCCACCTGCTCGCCAGCGACGGCGCCGATGTTGTTACCTCCACTGCTGGTGTTTTGAAGCAACATGGGCTGTTGCGCGTTGAGGAATCGAAAGTGCAGTCCTCGTTGCCGCACCCACAGCGCGCCAAGCAAGAGAAGCACACCCGTGAAGAAGAGAGCCACTTCTCGCAGAAGGTGCCTCACAAAGTTGCCAATGGTGCAATCAATGAGGACGATTAACACACCCTTGGCTAGCGACAGCCAGATAACGTCAACCCGCCTTGGAGTCTTAGTAAAAAACTCGAGACACACGTACGACGATATGCACGGATAACCCGCGTACAGGGTTATTCTGTATATCTTTGACAAAAGAGGAAGCACCGAGAGCCCAATCAACATAAATAGCACCGTACAATGTGCCCCAGCGTAGCGAAACGTGGCTACAGAGTGCACCTTTGCAAAAGTCATTAGCATGATGACGTACGCCCCGCCTGCATACTGTTTTATGAAGGCAGGGTACCTCTCACGCTCACGTGTGGCGATGTCAAGCAGCTCATTGCGCATGGCAACCAATATGAGCACTGTCTGAATTAATGTCACAAAGACATGTGCGGAAAGCGTCGTAGTGGTGTAAATCCCCAAACCGAGCGATATCCACCCATAGATCGCGCCTACACCTCTAAAGCCGAGTACCAACACTGTGACAGCCCACGTGCGCAGATTACAAAGTTGCTCCCACAGCATCCTTGATTCCACGATGATCCACTGCACCTCTAAATGCCACAAGTAAATAGCGGCATTGCCGAGGGCCCTGCTGAGCCTCGACAGACCAACCACCTCGGAGAGCAACGGCCCGATGTTGACGGCCGTGGCGACGAGGAAACGCACCGTGAAGTCTACCACCTGTACAAAAGGCAGCAGAATTTTCACTAACACAGCTACAGCGACTAGCTTCATCGCCCGCAGGCAGTACATAGTGAGTGCCCACTCCAAACGCCACGCGAAGACAAATGCGGTCCAAAGACCTGGCACAATATCTACCGCGTCCAGCGCGAAGCGCACGGCATCGTTCGTAGTGTTGACGATCTGAACACCCAGCAGGTATCGCCGATCACTGGTGTACTTCTTGTTGGCAGTGCTGCAGAAGGTCATATTCACAGCCCTCGCCGCAGCACAGTAAACGCCTGTCATCACCATCCTCGCGTCTTCCGCCCTATGCATGGCGTACGGCCCGATCTTTCGTATTGCGTACGATGTGGTGGTGACAGATAAGTCAGAGAGCCAAGCCACGGCCACGCCAGTGTAGGGGGTCACAATATACTCGGCAATGTAAGCCAGCCGTGAGTGTATGCTCCGCAATATCCCTGGCATGTACCAGAGCCATCGAAGAGAACATGGTACCTTTTTCTTAAGAATGATAGGGATAACTCGAGAGTCCTCCAGCAGCTGCAACATTTCGTGGCTGCCTACCCGGGGAAAACAGGTCAGTAGCGGCTCTTTCGTTCCAAGATGTAGCTGAGTGAGGGAATGTAATTGTTTCCCAACATCAGAGCAGCTGTCTGCACGATGGATGCTCTGTCTAGAAATAGGGTGGCCACTGTTGTTGTACAGTTCCAAGTTCACATTCACCAAAACCGTATCAAAAGCCAAGTTCATGCAAGTAGTGACAGAATTATCAGTATCGTTTTGGCCAGCTGCAAGCGGCCCGCAGCGTACCGTAACGTTTTGCAACCGGCTGTTCGCCCCCAGCATAGTGATTTGGTGCATCACTCGCCTTCCGCCTAAGGAAGCGTCACTGCAGCTTTCCAGTGCATAAATATGAGTGCTTTCCCCAAAAGAAACTATAGTATTTCTCACAACTGACGATGCACTACCCGTGCCAGGCACGGGGGCACTAGTGGGATGATCCTTGCACGGTAATCGCATCACTGACACGCCATCGTACACGATAAGGAGATGCTGCGGCTTAGTGATTGCGCCGGTTGGCCATAGAGCCACCTGTCCATAATAGCGCGAAACCCATGTCGCTTCTTCTGATTCAATCAACACATGCACTGTTCGGCCCAACTGTGGCACAGAAAGGCCAATGATGGCGAAGCACAAGAGGAATGTCGCAACACCTCTCTTCCAGGAATAAGCCCCAGGGATGGCACCAAATCCCGCCGCCATGACGGTAAGGTGCGGCGTGAGTCCTGTACGGAGGGAGGCTATCAGGAACACAGGAACACATAGACAGCTGATGTAATGCCATCGAACACAGCTGAACCTTGCACAGAGCCGGGA